GACGATGATCATCAAACATGATATAAAATAAGGACACAGCCTCTCCCCAACCAATCGGAGCCACCATGTGCTGTGTTTTTTTTATTCTGATTGTTGGGAGTCCTAGGTGATTGTAAATCTAGTCTTCACTCACCGATAGCGCAGTTAGGCTGGAAAAGTGCAGAATCTCAGTATTATTTATGTTTGAGTAAAATAATCTAAAACGGGAATAGCTGATCTGGCAGCAAAACACTCAGTTGGAACCTGAAGTGGAAAATTAGATAACCCTGTTTCTGAGGGTCCCACCGGAATGTATGTCCCCCAAAATTTGAAGGAATCTGTTGTCTCTATAATGATGATGGAGAGCTTTATGCTCTGGGCACGTCTCATGTCAATAATGATTTCCGTAGTTTTTGCTGATTTCAGTGAAAGGTCATTTTCAAAGCACCAGGCTGTTTCCTGGTCAATCTCCTGTCGGAATGGAGCCTTATCATTACCTGACAGAAGGCCGACAATAGTAGTATCAACTGTATATTTAGTAATCTCAACCCAAGATGTGACATTGTCTCTAAAAAGGGAGAAATTATGTTAAATCAGACTGTCTTCCTGTCCGTCTCAAGATATTCTTACACATGGCCAAATAATAGTCCACTTTAGTAATAATCTACAACAAGACTATAATAATAAAGCACATAAGTGTTCATTATTTGTCTTTATTTCATTGAAGTCACCCTTTACGCTGTTTGAATTGTTTTATTTCAGATATGGGACTGGTTGCTTTTTGCTGAATAACACTGGTCAAAAGGTATGGACATCACTTACAAAAGAGTGAAAAACGCATGAATGCCCTGCCCTTTGGAGCCGGTTGACTTGAACTTGCACAAACATGCACTTTTAGCAAGCTGTACTAAAGGGGAAAACAGTGCAGCATCGGGGAAAATAGAAAAATCAGGAAATGACTTCAACTGAAGCATTTTTACTCCTGACAGGAGTGAGTCGGTCACATTTCTTATTTCCCCAAATCTGGCAAAGGGATGATGGGAAAATTGCTTTAGTTCTGTTGGGATGGCGTTAGTCTGTCAGTGGAGTCAGTCTCTCCCTGCGTCTCTTTTCTCTAGCCGGTGATGTCCGATCACGGTCTGCTGACAACTGTGGCCTACAAGCTTGGTCGAGACAAGCCTGCCTGTTATGCACTTGAGGTAGGTGCTACATTTTCTGTTGCCATCTCTCTTTTCACA